AGAAGGATAAAATGAATTTGCTTTTCCTGTTACCAGCACTTCCCAAACTCTATAAGCTGAATTGTTGCTTCTTCCCCCATCCCAAGGAAATGTTTTCTGCACATGATTGAAAAAATGACATTATATGCCACAAGTCAGTCTCTAGCTCTCTTTGATGACTTAATGTACTCCAGCTGCAGTTCTCGCTTTCTGCTTGCACAATTCCTTGCCCTTTTTCCACATTCTCACTCTCTTCCTCTGCTCATTTTCTTGTTCTACTTTCCTCCCTTAATCTGGCCTCTCCTGCCCTATTGTCTGCATTCTTGCCTTCACCCATCCCAGTCTTTGTTTTCGACTTCCAGCCTTTTCTTTCCCCTTTTATGCTTCCTTCTTAAAAAAGAAAAATTTTTTAAAAATCAACTTCCCTTTTTCTGCAGTCAAGCTGTTGAATTGGCTAATATCCTTAAAACCCTTCTTCAATGACACAACTGCCCAGTGCAACTCTCAGCCTAAAATCAGAACAAGCAACAGAATTTTGCATCCCTAGCCTAGGTAAATACAAAATCCAGCTGCTTGGGTAAATCCCAGCAACTCACCTCCATACTATTTATTTTTCTAAAACAAACAAAAATTAAAAATTATTATATACTTTTATAAGTCACTTCTGTACTTGAAAACCTGTAAGCAACTTCTGTTTTATCACTGGAAACTTTCACTTACTGAACTGACAGTAGTGAGACCCTCTAGAGGTAATTCAGACTGCTTCTTTCTTCACTCCCTTCTCACCCCTCATCTTTCTCACACAAAAAATGAGATTTTTCAGACTTGGAGGTCTCAACTGCAGTGACTCCGCTGCCAATGAGGAGGTATTTTACAGTAGGGTTCAAAACAAAGCAATGCAACTTCGAATAAAATACGTACATTAACACAGGACAGCCAGCGAAGATGACAAGCACGCCTACACATCAACTGCAGCTGCTGTGCACAGGCAGAGCTTTAAAACTCTGCAATGTCTTCTCCTCTGGGGGCCACACAATCCACAGACAATGGTGACAAAGGGCTCCAGGTTCAATTCAACTCACAGCATTTAGTCCTTCATGCAGGATTCTTCTTTGCTTTGGCACTACACATACAAACCTTTAAATTTACTTCCTGAACATGCAGAGAATGCTTCTTCCTGCCTAGGAGTATCATACTGCTCACACAAACAGCTACAGGAATTTCTTAGGCCAGGTAATTTTTGGTAACAGTTCTAAAACATGTACTAAACCAAGGATCACATAACTTGATGGTACTTTTTGCTTGTTTATTGTTATTACAGCACTTACTTTTAATGGATGAAACCGAATTACTGGGTTTTGGGGACATCTCATTGTAAAAATCTATGCAATAGACTGTTACGCAATATTACTTTTTAACAATGCCTTTTCAGGGCTTCACTCGGTCATATGGGACAGCAAAAAATCAAATATGTCAAACCTCTTCTATTCCAGTGATATCACTGCTGCATTTAGTAAACATATGACAGGAAACAGGCTGTGTCTAAAATTGCTGTGCCATTTCCAAAGGAGCCAAATTTATCCCATGTGACTTCAATGGAGTCAATGCAGTTGCACCAGGAACAAGCATGGCTCACAGTTTTCACCTTGGTCACATACCTCCTCTCATTGTGAAGGACACCCAGGAACAAAGATAAAAATAACCTAATACAGAACAGGGAAACAGTCACATGTCAATGAAGAAGGAAGCAATAATTGTGATCAGTGACTCATTCTAGGGCACCAGCTGTAGGGGATCCCCTACATAGCCACATATGGGGTCAGCCTCTCCCTGCAGAACTGCACTGTGCATAAGATGAGCCTTTCGCATCCATTAACAACACTGGATTAAATACACAACTGCATACAATGCAGCCAACAGTTTCTCTTGTGCATGTTTGACTTTAAAAAAAGTCAAATACAGTTTGCCCTTTCGCTGCACTTTCCTTTCAAGAAGTGGTGTGTGCATGCATAATACTTCTTAATATTGACCTAAAACACAGGGGACTAAACAGCAGAGAACAGCTCCTATTTGTGGCAATGATCAGCCTTCATTTCAGTATAATTATTTTTCAGGCTGTCCATTTTGACCTTAATAGTCACCCATATGCAGCTGTGTTACTGAATCTGTTTCTCTTTATGCACACTTTAGGTGGGTGACAGCACCATGGAGGATTAACAAGCAAGGTATGTGTTTATTAGTTGAAGCCATGCACTTGTAAAGACAAACTGTTTGAAATACAGGGACAGAATTTGCTTCCTTTGCTTGTAAGAAAGCTTCTCTCCACAGACAGTAGGTAAAACAAAATGTAGGTGTTTTAAAAATTTCCAATTTCATGTGAGCTTTTAAATCAAGAAAACCAAGTTACTCTATTTTGACCTTTCCTCATCCCTTCTCTACACCATTTTCTAGCTGGTATAGGTATACATTTTAACTTACACTACCTTCCTTTTTTTAAGATCCTTCCTTATCACCTGTCCGGTAATATATGTCCAAACAGCTAATGTCAATGTGACAGCTCGACGGAGCCTTCTGACCTATTGCCTGCTCCCTCAGCACCATCCCTCACTCATTCCAAAGGGAAGAATTTTTTTTTTTTTTCCCCCTCCCCAAGAGATCTCACTGTCTCTCCTCACCTGTGGTGGCCTTGCATCTGTGATGCCCAACCAGCTAACATTGCCTTTTACGGAAGCACTTCAAAGCCCCAGGCCCTTGCCCCCTGAGTCATGCCAGTGAAACACATGCGGCAACACAGCAGTGCAGGTGCTAGCATGTGCACAGTAAATCTAATACTGTACACAGAAATGGACTTCTTGTGCATATATGCAGGTAAAAACTCATTCTGTTCTAGTCCTTCCAAGGGCCCCAAGAAATACAGCAGCCTGGAAAAAGCTGGATATGTTGCTGCAGCATGTAACTCACAACCCAAAGACCACAGGTTGCACACCCCCTGCATTAATAAATGACATAACAAGTTGTGATGAAGTCATCTGCAGGAAATACTGTTCTCTGAGCAGTGTCCATCACACAAGCTAGTTACACAAACTTTTCTGCACTAGCGTAAATCCGTTAGTGGTTCATTTACCGTGCCTTGTCTAGAAGGGGATAAACAGCCTAACACACCCCAGCCCATGCTGGGAGAACCAATGTGTCTTCGGCCAAGTCATTTGAGAATTTCTGTGCATGTCTTGCTTTTACTGCACTTAGGGCAGACAGTGACCAGCAAAGAGCTAAGCAGAATATACTTGGCAGGCACTTTAACTGCTTAAATAGATGAAAACAGGTACAGCATAAAGTCAAACAAAGCTGAAATATTACAGTCACCATGAAAGTAAGTTCCTGGTGCGTGTTTCATTTGCAATAAAGTTAAGATCAACTATAGCTCAAAACATCACAACAAAATCTGAAGTTCAACTTTAGGAGGAGATGTCATCACATGGAATCCTCTAAAGGTATTAAAATATCCATGTGTAATCTGGTTTCTTTTAAAAGTCTTTTTTTAAATACCAACCCTGCCACTGGCACTGAAAGCATACGTATTCTGCTCATACAGCACCATTTGACTCTGCAGAGTCTGAAAGACACTTCTGTTTCATTTTAAGGTTTTTCCATTTTAGCCACATCTAAAGACAAATTCGTGGACAACAAAGTATCTCTGATTCAGTCAGGATCATCATTTGGGCAGCAGATATCTAAGCAATGGTTTTCCTTTATGTGGCATATGTGAGTAGATAGAATTTCATTTATTGCCCCGCCCCCCCCCCCCCCCCCCCAAAAAAAAGAGATGATAAGGAGAGGCCTTCTGTCAAAAATATGATCATGATATAAATTCATAAAACATTTAGGGGCAAGTGCAGCTTTAGGAGCAAAAGTTGGAGAGACATATATATCATCATCAACTTGAAAACCAATTTTTCACATTGCGATAGCACCTACAGAATCCACCTTGCTAAGAGCTAAGCAAGCATACATCAAAGCCAGCCTCTTGCCATGGAAGGTTCACACAGGAGGGTTTTACACTGCAACTACTTATTGGGAGTTTTAAGACAATTGACACCCTGTGCTTCCATCTGCCATCAAAAAGGGGGAAAATATACTTGAAATAAAACACTCACTTAAGAGACAAAGTTATATACATGCTTTATTTTATTCCTCATAGCAGTTCTCGTGCCTTTGCACCTAAAATTTGTAACACATAGTCCTACATGTATTAAAAAAAAAACCTAGTCCTTACTCTGTTTTGTCTGTTGAGAAATATACTACTAAAATTCCCTATAGCAGTGATGCATTAGCTTTTAATTACGCACCATACAGAATTTTTACTTGGAATGGAAATCCTTCAACCAGATTTCTTTTCCTCCCTTCCAAAATAAGGTTCTGGTAAGTCAGATTATCTGTCCGGGTCAGTAACAGCCAGCAGCAATATCCAGATCTCCTGGCTGAAAGGTCTGTGACTCTAGCTATATCATCAGGCTGTCACATGTGCTTGAACAAATAAAGCGTGGGGGTGTGGGGGTGAGAGGAAAATCAGCCATGGCCTTTTCACAGACTGTGAAGGATGGAGAGATTAGGATTTAAAGCAATGATTTGAGTAAATCCCACATATCCATCGTTTCCATTTTACAATTCCTCACCACTGCTAAGAAGCAGGTCCTCGGTAGCCTTCAGGAGGAGAAGCATAATAAAGCACAAACTTAAACTTGAAAAACAAAAATTTAAAAATCCTGTTTTAAAGTAAAAACAGTGTAAAAGCAATCTATTTACTGCAGGCTTTTTAGAACTTCAAAACAAACTCCATTTGCACTCAACAAAACACTTTACTTCTGCATTTCTAACTCTTCACTTTCCTGCTTTCCCAGCTCCACAAAGGCTGTCTAAAACAAAAAGAGAAGATAATAGGCACTTTGCACTGTTCCTGACAACTTCTCTTCTTTCCTGCACTCCTAAAACCTCTGATTTGTGCCCTCTGCTTTCTTGTTGCCATGGAGAAGGTCCAATATATAACCCGCTCTGCTCTGAGGAGAGCCTCAACTATTGAGGTCAACCCACAAGCACGCCAAAGGCTCCAAGAGCTCTTTGTGAATTTCTGCCTGATTTTAATTTGCCTCTTGCTGATCTGTATTATTGTGATGCTCCTCTGAAGTTCCAGCACTTCTCTGCACTGTCCTCTAGGAGAGTCACCCCAGAGGGAAGAGAGACCTACACCCGCAACTCCCAATGCAAGGATCCTCTTGTGAGAGGGGCTAGCACTTGGACTAGAGCTGTATGCCAACCATCGCATTATTCTCTTACTACCTGCTACATGTATTAAAAACACACTTCTGTGCAGAACAGTGTTTAGAGCCTGTTGTTACAAAGCTGTGCATGACCTAATTTGTCTGTCTCAATCCAGAGATGTCTTTTCTGAATGGGGTAACATACTGGCTCTTCATGGAGTTGGTAAGTTCCTCAGTGTTTTAGCTAGATCACACAAACAGCAACTTTACTTTTGGGGGGCCTGATTGTTTTTAGGGTTTCTCTGAAAATCCTTAAGCCCTTGGAGGGGTTCCAAATTTGGCCTGCGTCTGCCCATAGAAGAGCTACAGGCACAGTGCCCTCAACGCATCCTAGGAAAATTTCTGCTATGCTTACTTCAAGGTGCTGCATCTCTGCATTATCAACTGAAGGCATTCAAATTGTTTTAGTGTTTTTAAGGGAATATGAGAATAAATCAAAAATATCTTCTAACTCAGAAATAAAAACTATTTCATATGCTTTTATCCCTATTTACGGGATCTTATATATACATATACGTGTATATATACACATACAACTTGGATCTGAAAAAAACCAAATTCAACTTCATTTACAGTATTTTTCACTCAATACATCCTTACAGAACTAAGTGACATCTGGAAAGTTTTTTCACTATGTTTTGCAGAAAAATTAACACACTGGTATCAAAGATTTAATTTTTTATAGTCATTTAACTGGCATGACAATTGGCACAACTCAAAAAACAAAAACAGTTATCAGAGTCTTAGTACTTGGCTTCAGATAACTTTATTATGGCCTGCTGTAATTTATGCAATAATCTCCTTAGTTTAAAACTACATAAAACTTAGTATTTGCTAATGTCACTCAAGGTGGCTTATAGCCAATGTGGTAAAGAGAAAGGTTTAGGTCACCCTTACTGCTGTGATTTAAGTGAATCATACAAATACAAGTAACACCACCACTGCCTATTAGAGAACAAGCAAGTATTTTCCTAAAATAAATGATAGATAAAAAAATGAAATAAATGATAAACAATTATGCACAGGAGGGAAAGCATTGCAGAAATATCTTTACAACATGTAAACCACATCTATGCATATAGAAGATGAAGTTTCTACTCCAGCAGTTGTCAGTAACAAGACTGAGCAGTAGACTTCCAATCCTCCTATGTGTTGCTGGTATTAAGCTAAACTCCTAGAAACTTTACACAGTTTTCAAATTTAAAGAAAGCTCAAGAATCAACAGACAGAGGTCAAACAGACATCTGTTTTTTAAACAGGCATCTTTCTATACCACCCTATATAAGCAAGCCTACTGATGAATACCAAAAATCAAAACAAGTTTATCTTAATCTTTTATTCTGCCTTTAAGACTTAATATTCCATGAGTAGAGGTTGACAATGAACAGCTGAGTAGGAAGGGAAGAAATCTTTGAAAAATATATGTACTCAACGGAATGTAAGCAAGCCCACTAGCGATGCACTTCCGAACTGGCAAACAGATCTGCTGAAACCAGACCTCTGAAATAAGGTTAATCACTAGAGGAAATTAGTCAGTTACTGCATGAGGATTAGGGCAAGCACTGATGAGATCGGCAACACACATTCCCACTTGCAAGTTAATATATAAATATTACTTATTTGAACTGTCAATGGAAATCTCATTTTCCATTTCATGCATTCTGACCACTCTCACAAATGCAGGAGATTTTAGTAAGCACACTTACTAAATCTTAATCCTTCTTCTTAAGAAAAGCCACAAACAGAGTATGCTTCGGGGGGGATGGGGAGAAGAATAGAAAAAAAACTTCCTGAAGAAAAAAGGTATTAAGCATAAAATATCAGCACATACATTCTGAGAACACGTTGGGATTATAAATTTCACAAGCCAGTAATATATAGAAGCCAAAGTAAAGCACTGCCAAAAAAATTAACACACACAACCCCCAAAAAAACTAAACACACCACTTTCCTCTCTTATGTACCTGAAAAGCCATTATTTATTTAAAAACAATATTATTTAAAAACAATAAATAAATAAGAACAAAACCAAGGTATAAATAAACTGGAAGCCCTACCGTTATTTTACAGCAATGCAGATAAATTGCATGTACTGTATGGTACATTTGTGTCTTAGGGTTCTGCTGATCTGAAAAACTGCTACCGTCCTCTATATCACTACATGTCAACTGCACCCAGAGATTAAAAAAATAAAGCCTTTTGTACATAGCACAATCTTCTTTGTATACATATATGGGCTTTCAAACTAACATCTACTGTATTTTTATTTCTTAAAATGACAGAAAATATATTAATGCGTAAAATAAGCCACTTAAATACAATTCTGTTTAGAAAGATGCATCCATTCTATCACCTACTTATTAAAGTTATGTGAAAAAGAGCTAGTCATCACACAGCTTTCTAATTCTTTATGCCTCTGTTTATTCTGTTTTGGTTTTCAACAGTAATCTTTCCTATTTTGCGATGTCCAGATCACTAACACATACTTAATTCACACTCACCAACTAGTGCACATAAGCAATCCTAATGAATTTTATGAAAGTGTAATCAAAAAGTTCACTACTTTTATGAGCCATAATAAAAATTCCAAACACAGCATGTAGCTTGGATTAAGTTTTCATTTCTCTGTTCCACTCCACCCAAGGCTACGTCTTTTTGCTAAGTTCATCTTACACATGCTGATAGTGAATAAAGAAAGCTAAACAGGCAACAATCTGGTATTATTCTTCCTCCAAAAAAACAAATTACAAACTTCCATGGCAATTTTAAACTGGGAAAGAGCTGAATCAGGAACAAGAACATGCTCATTTTAAAGATGTGTCTCCTCAGCCAGCTCTTCAGCAAAAATTGATTTATCTACCCATTTTTCTCTAGGTGAAGACACAACCCATTTCAGAACTGAAATTTTGTTCTGATGAAAACTAGTCAGTGAGGCACTTTAGAGGGCAGCAGGTACTTGCATTTCTTTATTAACTTTTCTGCATCAATTTAGCAACAACTGCCCTTACTAGCAGAACTGAACCACTCAGTGGAAAGACAAGCTTAAACAAGACAGGCTTAAACAAAGTTTTTCACAAAACATGCACAAAATATTTGCCCCCCCCCAGTATAAAGAATTTTTATGTAAGCTTTGCTACAACTACACACAGAACAATAATCATGTCAGACATACACACTCATGCCAAGATGTACTTCACCTATATACTCTCTGCCAAAATTAGAGCAGAGTAATGAACACATTCATTTAGAGAGTATTCTTGTTCATATCTGGAAGTGTACTAGTATGCTACAGATTACAAACCAGATACCTGTATTTGTATGGCTATTAATAAATAATGACTGACAGAATACAATTCAAAAATATTTGTGAAGTCCTACAAGATCCATAGATATCTTTTATTTAACAACAAATGTAGTCCTTTTAGCTTTGACCTAGATATTAAAAACTGAAAAAACAAAAATTTGTTTTGGTTATGGAAGGAGATGAGTGAACACCTCTTGTTCCTTGCAAGGATTAAAACCAGAACAACATATTTATAAGGACTCCTTTAAAAAGTGATGCTCATCTCAGTAAGAACCCCGGTAATTTAAATTATTCAAAACAGGCCTTAGACTCATTGTAGTATCTGACAGCTAGTTTTGTCAAACTGATTGCTTTATAAGCCTGTTACTTTTTTTTTTTTTTTTTTTTAAGATAAAAGAATGCTGAAAGTTCCATTTTTGTATAAAATATGAAACTATAAAACACTGCCCTCTTGTGATCTTCCCTAAAAAACTTAGCTGGTTATTAAAAAGAAGTTTTGGCATCATTTCACTGTTAGGGCTGAGTGGTCCTATTTGTTTCTTTCATTTATATACATACATTTCTATATATAAAACACAATTGCTAAGTTATTAATACTATCTTAAAATATGCTATTGTGTATGTGCTATTAAAAGCACTAAGGATGCATCCTCTGCCAGCCCAATCTAGATTCTTAATAAGGCATTTGCAAAGCTGCAGTGAATTCTACACAGCACACTGCTGGCAAAATGCTACCTACCGTGCTACACGATGCCAAACCCTAGAAGGGGAATACATTTTGCCCAGATAAGAAAGTTTCCTTTTTTTTTTTTTGCACCTACAGAGATCTTTCAAAAGTAAATATTCAACAATCTGTTGCTGAAACAGAGCAAGTCCTGAGAATAGCCATTCTTTTGAAAACTAAATGGGCCTGAAGAGTACTACACATATTAAAAAAAGTAAATAAACGAAGAGCCAAACTGCATAAAATTCAAGTCCTTTCTCCATTCAGTTGTTCTTCAGTAGTGAAACAAAAGCTATCATTAACTTTTTTTTTAATTATTATTATTTTTAAGGTATTTGGAAAAAAAAGCTTGTAGGAGCATCCAGATTCCTTTTTTTTTTTTTTGTGGGGGGGGGGGGTTGGCTAGTTTTTGTAAACAGACATTTTTTTCTTAAGTGGCAGAAACTAAAAACAGGTAAACAACTGAGGACACAATGAAATTCATGTGAATCTACATTGCTTACTACTGAAGGAGCAATCCAAAGCTACAATCAAGAGTCTGCTGGAAGCACAAGAGGGCAGACGGATGCACATTATGGATCTTGCCAACAACAGAGGTCTCAACTTGCTACTCAATTTTCTGCTTATTGTCTTGGTTCTGCTGCTTGCATTTATCCTTGTAAAGCTGATGTGAATCTCTGAGGCTCCGTTTCCTTCTCAAATCTTGTTTTGAGGGTTTTGCAATGATAACGTAGACACTACAAATGATCTGAAAAATATGCAAAGACTGCATAGACTGAAATATCTGACAATTAGAGAAAGTGTTCACATACCTATTTTATCAGAAAGCGATCCTAAAAGCTGCGCACAATTATCTACCTGTCATTGAGTAAAGAAAGCATCTAGAGCCTTGCTGAGTACATGAGGAAATCCAAGTACGCGTCAGCAGTTACTGTAGTTTGCTCACTGCTACAGCTGACTTGTATTTAAAGATCTACAAGAGATCT